TCTGTCTATTTTGTTATCTCCAGAAAAATACACCAAGTCCCAATATAAACTTATTTTTATTTAAAAATAACCACATGTTATATTGCATAAATTTAAATAGGGTTAAATATGTTTTGGTCCCTAACTTTTAGTGAAAATTGGAATTAGTCCCTCTTCAAAACTTTGACCTAATTTAGTCCTCAAACTTTATTATTGTTTGAATTTAGTCCTTTTAACTAAATTTTGTTAGATTTATTTAATGTTTCAAGTGTGTTTCATGATAGCATCTGAGTTGTTTTACACCTTTTGACACATTTTTACTTCAATGTTAACTGAGAAATGTGTTTGAAACATCAAATAAAGTTAACAAAATTTGGTTAAAAGGACTAAATTCACACACTTCTAAAGTTTGAGAACTAAATTAGTCCAAAGTTTTGAAGAGGGACTAATTCCAAATTTCACTGAAAGTTAAGGGACCAAAAACATATTTAACCCTTTTAAATAAATCGATAACAATTAGATTAATGTATAAAATCCACCTTGAATATAAGCTATTATATGGTGTGATGAAGAGTATGACAGATTAAGGTAACAAGACAATGGTGACAACGATGGTAATTAATATTTAAATATATGTAATAAACCTAGATTAAATGAGATTCTCCTTAACATAAGTTTTGAGAGAAATGGTGATTGTTGCAAAGGATGGTCGAGTAGTAGGATTTGGGTCCCAACAAAGACAAATAAGGTCAATAAGCTCTCCGAGTTTATCAACATCATCATCACATGGAAGCTTAGGTCGAAGCTTACCCTCCACAACTTCCATGGCAATCTAATAACATAACATCAACGCTTTCATCACAATCAAAATCACATTAATTAATCAACTTGCTACATAATAAAGATTAACATTAAATTAATCACATAATCATTTACTTTAATTAAAAATTTAACATACCTTGGTGGGACCATATTCTGTCTCAACATAAGGGTAATTCCCAGTTAGTAGCTCGTTCAGTATGATCCCAAAACTATACACATCACAACTTTCATTATAAGGTTCACATCGGATTACCTCTGGTGCCATGTAAACGTATGTTCCTGAAAATAAAACAAACATAATTAATATCATTACATGCAGAAAACAAGAACATCCTAGTTTTCCTCACTTATCTCTTTCTTATTTAGAAAAAAAAAATTCTAAAATAGAAAAAGAGATTGATATCAAGAATAAGATTGTTTACCTGTTTCTCCGGTGAGGGCCATTTCTTCGTCACCCAAGAACCGTGCGTGGCCGAAGTCCGCGACTCTAACATGCAGGGCGTCATCAAGAAAAATGTTGCTGGGCTTCAAGTCACGGTGAACCAGTTTGGGCTTTTGCTCGTGCAAGTACTGCATAGCTTGGGCTATTTCCAAGGCCCGGCCCACTCTCTCCTGCAAGGGTGGGAGTGGCACCATCCGCTCACTGCGCCGGTTCCCAGGTCCATGGAGCCACTCCTTCAGCGTGGTGCTCAGGTACTCGGTGACCACCCACGCGTGCTGTGGAGGTTCGATGCACGCGCCCATGAGCTGAAGCACGAACCTGTGGCGTTGCCGCGACAGCGTTTCGAGTTCCTGAGAGAAGTAAACGACGCCGTTTTCGTTTATACGGAAAAACTCTTCAGAAATGCACTTCACTGCGACCTCAAATCCACGCCATGTTCCTCTGTGAATCTCTGCGGTGCTTCCTTCCCCAATTTTTTCTTCCAATTTAATCTATGGATCACAAAATTCACATATAATCATAATTAGTATTTTTTTTATTAGCTAAACCCTCAAGTATGTTTTTTTTTTCTTAAAATATTATTGATTTCTACTCTATTATACATATATTAGTAATACAGATTTTAATATTCGCTTTTAAAAGAGTTTCTTGTTAGTTTCTATGAAGTCAAAGACAGTTTTTTTTTCTGCTATTTTATCCTGTTACATTAGCTTTGTATAAAGACACATTTTGTGTCGGCAATAATATGTTGGAGCAGTATTATCAGTTCATAACTCTGCTGTAAATTGTGTTCATCTGTTATGATATAGTTTAAACATGGCATTAAGAGCAAGTACGGTCATGTGAAGACAGTTTCTGTATAGTTTGCGAGATTAAGCTGCTTCATGACTCCGCAATCACTATAGAAGGTAACTTGGTGAGCTTTGCCCTCATAGCTGAGTCTAAACAAGTTGATTTTGAGCAAGCCATAACAGATAGAAATTGGCTGAAGGCTATTGAGAAAAATCACACATGGAAGCTGGTCGAATTGCCTTTGAACAAAAGGGTTATTGCTTTAATATGGGTTTACAAAGTCAAGGTGAATGAATGGAAGAGGAGAGTACTTAGGCACAATGCTAGACTTGTAGCCAAAGGATTCCTGCAAAAGGTTGGAGTTGACTATGGTGAAATCTATGCACTGGTTGCAAGAATTGAAATTGTGTGATTGGTTGTGATGAGTCCATATTTATGTCCTCATTTAAGTTTCAATTTAAAATTTTTAATTGAATTTTTGTGTTTAAACAAGCACCTAAAGCCTGAAACAAGAGAATGGATAATTTTAGCAGCAAAATTGGGTTTCTGGAGTGCACAAACGAGTATGGTGTCTATGTAAAGTTTTGTGAGAACAATATGAAGACTGAAAAGGTGATAATTTGCTTGTATGTTGATGATCTATTGATCACAGGAAGCAACAAGGAGCTGATAAACAGATGTAAGGCTGATCTGCTAGCAGAGTTTGAAATAAGGGAACTAGGTATCTTGAATTATTTTCTGGGAATATAATTCAAGATGACAAAATGTGGAATGTTGATGCACCAATCAAAATATACACGTTATCTGCTGATCAAGTTCAATATGCAACAGAGTAAGTATGCTAATACTCCAACAGAAACAGGTTTGAAATTGGAGAGAAACGGTGATGAGGAAAGTGTTTATCCTACACATTATCAAATGAATGTTGGAAGCCTGAGATATCTGTGTAATACCATTTCATTATGAAACAAGTTTGGAACAACAAACTTGAAATTGGGCATTGTGTGTCTGAAATACAATTAGCAGATATGCTTACTAAAGCTCTAAAACGTGAAAGGTGCAAAAGCCTAAGAGTAATTGGTGTTGTGAATGTAAATCAGTTTTGACTTGAGGAGGAGTGTTAGTTTCTATGAAGTCAAAAGCAAATTTTCTGTTATTTTACACTGTTACATTAGTTTTGTATAAGGACACATTTTGTGTCTGCAATAATATGTTGGAGTAACATTATAAGTTCATAACTGTCTGTTGTAACTTGTGTGCATCTGTTATAGTTTAAGCATTTCTTTTATTAATTCAGACGGAGTAAAAATTATGCAAAATCGTCACTTAAAAAATAAAATAAATTAAAAGACTAACATGTAAACGATTATACAAAAGCAAAATGTAGCAGCCATGTTTACCTCATTTGGATGAATGTACCAGCCATTGGTTTTAGCTTGATGAATAATGAGTGATAGATTGGGGTGGTGGGCATGAGCTTGAGGGCTGGTAATGGAGTGAAGAGAGACTGGAGATGGTTGAAATTCACCATTGCAGCTCAGAAAGAGATCCAATAATCCATTTTCTTGTGCTGTCTGAAGACAGTATCTTAAGTAGTCTTGTGTTCTTTCCATTCTTTTCTTGTATATCACTCCAACTTCTCTTTGTTTCATCACTTGCTTTTCCAATTCTTCCACCTACGTTACCATCAACACGTTTTTCACTCAAAAACCAAATTTTATTATGATATACATCATTGTTTTGTTAATGGTTTTACGAGTCTACCAATTGTTCNCAAAGTAAGGTACAATTTGGTCCTCATTCTTTTGGAAACGTTCGTTTTAGTCCTCGAAAACTAAACACTGTTTAAAAATTTGGTCCTCATTTAGCAACAAATGAGGACTAAAACCAAAATTCCGAGGACTAAAACGAACGTTTCGAAAAAGAATGAGGACCAAATTGTACCTTACTTTGAAAGAGGGACGAAAACCAGAAACGATCAATAGTTTAGGGACTAAAAACATATTTAACCCTTAAATGAATGTAAAAAATTGGTGCATTAGAAAGTATTATTTTATATTTTTTTTGTTATATGTTAAACTATTTTTTTTGTTTAAATTTTGAAAATTATATACATTTAAGTATGTTAATCAAAGACTTTCTTACTTAATAATGTAAATTAAGCTTATTAAGGATATATTTGGATTCACCTTTGTTTTTTGCATCAACATGAATTTAAGATAGGTCAAACATGATTTTCTTATTGGCTATAATGTTTCACAAATGTGATTTAATGTTTAAACTAGTCTTGTTGAAGCTATTAAAAGAAGCTTTTGCATCAATGCTCGAGTCATGTTTGTCCATCATGCTCGAGTTTTTTCTATTCTTTATATTAGTCATTTTCCTTTTTGGTGCTATAGAAATTTAAGTATATCTGTCTATTTTGTTATCTCCAGAAAAATACACCAAGTCCCAATATAAACTTATTTTTATTTAAAAATAACCACATGTTATATTGCATAAATTTAAATAGGGTTAAATATGTTTTGGTCCCTAACTTTTAGTGAAAATTGGAATTAGTCCCTCTTCAAAACTTTGACCTAATTTAGTCCTCAAACTTTATTATTGTTTGAATTTAGTCCTTTTAACTAAATTTTGTTAGATTTATTTAATGTTTCAAGTGTGTTTCATGATAGCATCTGAGTTGTTTTACACCTTTTGACACATTTTTACTTCAATGTTAACTGAGAAATGTGTTTGAAACATCAAATAAAGTTAACAAAATTTGGTTAAAAGGACTAAATTCACACACTTCTAAAGTTTGAGAACTAAATTAGTCCAAAGTTTTGAAGAGGGACTAATTCCAAATTTCACTGAAAGTTAAGGGACCAAAAACATATTTAACCCTTTTAAATAAATCGATAACAATTAGATTAATGTATAAAATCCACCTTGAATATAAGCTATTATATGGTGTGATGAAGAGTATGACAGATTAAGGTAACAAGACAATGGTGACAACGATGGTAATTAATATTTAAATATATGTAATAAACCTTAGATTAAATGAGATTCTCCTTAACATAAGTTTTGAGAGAAATGGTGATTGTTGCAAAGGATGGTCGAGTAGTAGGATTTGGGTCCCAACAAAGACAAATAAGGTCAATAAGCTCTCCGAGTTTATCAACATCATCATCACATGGAAGCTTAGGTCGAAGCTTACCCTCCACAACTTCCATGGCAATCTAATAACATAACATCAACGCTTTCATCACAATCAAAATCACATTAATTAATCAACTTGCTACATAATAAAGATTAACATTAAATTAATCACATAATCATTTACTTTAATTAAAAATTTAACATACCTTGGTGGGACCATATTCTGTCTCAACATAAGGGTAATTCCCAGTTAGTAGCTCGTTCAGTATGATCCCAAAACTATACACATCACAACTTTCATTATAAGGTTCACATCGGATTACCTCTGGTGCCATGTAAACGTATGTTCCTGAAAATAAAACAAACATAATTAATATCATTACATGCAGAAAACAAGAACATCCTAGTTTTCCTCACTTATCTCTTTCTTATTTAGAAAAAAAAAATTCTAAAATAGAAAAAGAGATTGATATCAAGAATAAGATTGTTTACCTGTTTCTCCGGTGAGGGCCATTTCTTCGTCACCCAAGAACCGTGCGTGGCCGAAGTCCGCGACTCTAACATGCAGGGCGTCATCAAGAAAAATGTTGCTGGGCTTCAAGTCACGGTGAACCAGTTTGGGCTTTTGCTCGTGCAAGTACTGCATAGCTTGGGCTATTTCCAAGGCCCGGCCCACTCTCTCCTGCAAGGGTGGGAGTGGCACCATCCGCTCACTGCGCCGGTTCCCAGGTCCATGGAGCCACTCCTTCAGCGTGGTGCTCAGGTACTCGGTGACCACCCACGCGTGCTGTGGAGGTTCGATGCACGCGCCCATGAGCTGAAGCACGAACCTGTGGCGTTGCCGCGACAGCGTTTCGAGTTCCTGAGAGAAGTAAACGACGCCGTTTTCGTTTATACGGAAAAACTCTTCAGAAATGCACTTCACTGCGACCTCAAATCCACGCCATGTTCCTCTGTGAATCTCTGCGGTGCTTCCTTCCCCAATTTTTTCTTCCAATTTAATCTATGGATCACAAAATTCACATATAATCATAATTAGTATTTTTTTTATTAGCTAAACCCTCAAGTATGTTTTTTTTTTCTTAAAATATTATTGATTTCTACTCTATTATACATATATTAGTAATACAGATTTTAATATTCGCTTTTAAAAGAGTTTCTTGTTAGTTTCTATGAAGTCAAAGACAGTTTTTTTTTCTGCTATTTTATCCTGTTACATTAGCTTTGTATAAAGACACATTTTGTGTCGGCAATAATATGTTGGAGCAGTATTATCAGTTCATAACTCTGCTGTAAATTGTGTTCATCTGTTATGATATAGTTTAAACATGGCATTAAGAGCAAGTACGGTCATGTGAAGACAGTTTCTGTATAGTTTGCGAGATTAAGCTGCTTCATGACTCCGCAATCACTATAGAAGGTAACTTGGTGAGCTTTGCCCTCATAGCTGAGTCTAAACAAGTTGATTTTGAGCAAGCCATAACAGATAGAAATTGGCTGAAGGCTATTGAGAAAAATCACACATGGAAGCTGGTCGAATTGCCTTTGAACAAAAGGGTTATTGCTTTAATATGGGTTTACAAAGTCAAGGTGAATGAATGGAAGAGGAGAGTACTTAGGCACAATGCTAGACTTGTAGCCAAAGGATTCCTGCAAAAGGTTGGAGTTGACTATGGTGAAATCTATGCACTGGTTGCAAGAATTGAAATTGTGTGATTGGTTGTGATGAGTCCATATTTATGTCCTCATTTAAGTTTCAATTTAAAATTTTTAATTGAATTTTTGTGTTTAAACAAGCACCTAAAGCCTGAAACAAGAGAATGGATAATTTTAGCAGCAAAATTGGGTTTCTGGAGTGCACAAACGAGTATGGTGTCTATGTAAAGTTTTGTGAGAACAATATGAAGACTGAAAAGGTGATAATTTGCTTGTATGTTGATGATCTATTGATCACAGGAAGCAACAAGGAGCTGATAAACAGATGTAAGGCTGATCTGCTAGCAGAGTTTGAAATAAGGGAACTAGGTATCTTGAATTATTTTCTGGGAATATAATTCAAGATGACAAAATGTGGAATGTTGATGCACCAATCAAAATATACACGTTATCTGCTGATCAAGTTCAATATGCAACAGAGTAAGTATGCTAATACTCCAACAGAAACAGGTTTGAAATTGGAGAGAAACGGTGATGAGGAAAGTGTTTATCCTACACATTATCAAATGAATGTTGGAAGCCTGAGATATCTGTGTAATACCATTTCATTATGAAACAAGTTTGGAACAACAAACTTGAAATTGGGCATTGTGTGTCTGAAATACAATTAGCAGATATGCTTACTAAAGCTCTAAAACGTGAAAGGTGCAAAAGCCTAAGAGTAATTGGTGTTGTGAATGTAAATCAGTTTTGACTTGAGGAGGAGTGTTAGTTTCTATGAAGTCAAAAGCAAATTTTCTGTTATTTTACACTGTTACATTAGTTTTGTATAAGGACACATTTTGTGTCTGCAATAATATGTTGGAGTAACATTATAAGTTCATAACTGTCTGTTGTAACTTGTGTGCATCTGTTATAGTTTAAGCATTTCTTTTATTAATTCAGACGGAGTAAAAATTATGCAAAATCGTCACTTAAAAAATAAAATAAATTAAAAGACTAACATGTAAACGATTATACAAAAGCAAAATGTAGCAGCCATGTTTACCTCATTTGGATGAATGTACCAGCCATTGGTTTTAGCTTGATGAATAATGAGTGATAGATTGGGGTGGTGGGCATGAGCTTGAGGGCTGGTAATGGAGTGAAGAGAGACTGGAGATGGTTGAAATTCACCATTGCAGCTCAGAAAGAGATCCAATAATCCATTTTCTTGTGCTGTCTGAAGACAGTATCTTAAGTAGTCTTGTGTTCTTTCCATTCTTTTCTTGTATATCACTCCAACTTCTCTTTGTTTCATCACTTGCTTTTCCAATTCTTCCACCTACGTTACCATCAACACGTTTTTCACTCAAAAACCAAATTTTATTATGATATACATCATTGTTTTGTTAATGGTTTTACGAGTCTACCAATTGTTCTTTCTTACAAGAAACATGATGTTTCTTCTTGCACCTCTGATTTTCGAAAATAATTTTCAACAAATGAGAATGATAAACAGTAAATATTGTACTTCTAAATTTTCATACAAATTTTGAAATCTATTAAAATATTTGAAAAATTATTTAACGGATTTCAAAATTCGTTGAAATACAGATAAGGGATATATGATTTTTTGAATTGTTGAAAGATAAAACCTTTAAAATAAGTTACTTTAAGTTAACAATTTTTTTTACATAGGATAATTTTGGAATTTTAAAAATATTTGGAGAGGTAGAGAAAGGGAGAAATGGTTGGAGGTACAGAAAAAAAACTTCCCAATAACCAATCCATACATTTTTAAATTGGTTTCTTCAAGGGGTGTTGCTCCCTCCACCCCCACACATCTCTTCCTCCACCTCTCCTTTACTATTTTGCCCCTTCCTCCACCTTTCCTTTACTATTTTGCCCCTCAGTAAAATTTTATTTTTAAAATTGTTGTTTTTTAATTTTATTCATTTATAACATATTTCACTGTTAACCTACTTAGTTTCTTGTATGAGTAAAATATTTTTCTACAAAGCTTGGTGATCGTGAAAAGAATTATCAAACAATCTTCTTCTTGTTCTCGGTGCAGTACGTGGTGCAGTGCGTTTATGGTGTAGTGTCCTTGTCGTGGTTCCTCTCCAGGTACGTAGTCATAATCTTTCCAATAATCCTAAACCCTAAATCCTTCCCATACTTCCAATAATCCTTTTAATATCCAAGCCTATAATCCTTGCATGAGCCGCAAAACGTAGTAAAATAAAAACGAAACGTAAAAGGAACACTGCCTATGGACGGATGACATCCTTCAACGGATGTCAACATCCGTTGAAGGCAAAACGGATGTCGACATCCGTTTAAGGCAAAACGGATGTCAACATCCGTTTTGCCTTCAACGGATGTTGACATCCGTTGAAGGATGTCATCCGTCCAGAGGCAGTGTTCCTTTTACGTTTCGTTTTTATTTTATTTGTTTATTTTATTTACAGTAATTTATATTTAAATTTATAATTTTAAATGTTATATATGGTTAGTTTTTAAACGTAATAATTTTGTTAAAATATGAATTTGTTAAAATATGAATTTGTTATAGGTGGAGAAGAAGCTTAACGGAAGAGAGAAAGGTAAACGAAAATGGAAGAGAGGAAGAGGTGCAGAGGGAAGTAAATCAGAAGTTTTAAATAAATTAAAATATTAAAATAATAAAAATAAAAAATTTTAACTTTTGAGGATATAATTGTCATTTTAGAAGGATATAATTGGCATTTTAGAAAATTGGGGAGGTGGAGGAAGAGACGTGTGGGGGTGGAGGGAGTAACACCCTTCTTCAAGCTCAACACTATTCTTGGGCTTGATCCAGCAACCACTTCTGCTCTACTCTTGACCCATGGATCCAAGATTATAAAGTAAATATGCCTTTGATTTTTGCAGCTTATTCTATTTCACTATTTTTAACTCATTTGATCAAATGGTATCAAAATAATTTATATTGCTTTCAAACTGTAATAGTAATAATAATATAAAAACAGTTATTAAGGTCCACAACAGTCAATAGAAAATTACATTCTAAATTTATTATTTTTGAAAGCTTATAATTCTTATTTTAATAGTAATTTACAAATTGCGGGTATCATTATTCAAATAAAAACTATATAAGAAATTACTATAAAAACTCATGACATATTAAACATTATTTTTTAAATAAAAATTGCGGGTATCATTCATATATCAGAATATTTGTAATTACAATATTTACGCTATTTATATTTTGTAGAAAAAACTATAGTAGTAACTCCAAAAAATCATTAAATAAAATTAAAACATGTGGTAAACATAATTATTGCTTTGAAAGAATTTTTAACCTTCTTTTTGTTTAAATGGTTAATTTGTTTCTTTAAGTTTTACGTATTTTAATATGAACCAGTAGACATACTTAACTAGAAAAAATTAATGAATAATCTTTATTTTTCAACTAAATTATATTTAATTTAATATAATATAAACGTAAATAAACTACTTTTATTGCAAATACAATTATTTACAAAATTAAAATAGTAAAAATTAAATAAAAAATAAGAAAACATTCAAGAGAAAATAAAAATGTGATAACATATTTAATCTAAAAAGATGAAATATATGACACAAAATATTTTCAAAATCAAGACTATAGAAAGTAAAAATAAATTATTTAACTAAAGAAAGAAAAAGTTATTATTGTCTTTCAAATAAAAACTACAAACAATATTAAATATAAAAAAACAATTAAATATTATTCTCTCTATAACTAAACTTTAAATAAAAACATTATCTTAATATTAAAAAATATATATATATATTTATACAAAGAGAAAGAAAACTATATCAAAAGTGTAAAACTTTATATTATTGTACCATCATAAACCATTGTTAACTTTTTGCAATAATTATATCTTAATAGTAGTTTTGAATTAGTTGATAGCGTAAAATTATTGTGTAATAACATGTGTGAGTATATGCATGAGCATTAAAGTAATGTAAAAAGGATGAAGCAGACCTTTTGTTTCAGTGTTTGTGGAGATGTAGAAGCAGAGGACCCTTTGGAGAAGCCTCTGCAGCAGCCTACAAGTGGAGGGCTTGGTGGCTCCACATGCTTCTGTGGTTTGGCCCTACAACTAGGGTTAGGGTTGGATGATTGGCGAGAGAGGTAAGGAGAGTGTCCCCTGTTAGGGCTGTTCTTGAAACTCATGTTTGTTAACTTGAAATGAAAACTGTGATAGAGTGGAAGGGCAAACCCTAATAGACTCATGAGGGTCCCTTAATATGGTCTTCCACCGTTTTTGTTGTGTGGTGAAGGCCACATAGCTGGCAACAATGACGGATTTTATGAAGAACATTGTTCAGACAAATACCTTGTTGGGTTGCTTTCACATGCTTTGTTTTGTTTCAATGAAACATTGGCTTCTATCTGTCCTTCAAACTTTAGATAATAGACAACATTATAAAATTTCGTGATAAGCTAGGTCATCAGTTTCTACAATGAATTTTAAGAGTTAAAAACCATGTTGAAATATGGTAAGTAATGGGTGGCCATTTAGGCGGAGGTTACTACAAGATTTACCACAGCATACATAGATTTAGGGTTATACAATCAAATCATATGATTAATAAGTACTCTAAACTTCAACTTTATTCACATCTTGTTTAGATTATCAAATTTTAAATAAGATGATATTTTGATATAATAAACTTTTAAACTCAATAATTTCTATACTCGTTTTATATCTATTATTTTATCCTTCATCTTCTTTATTTTTTTACAAATACAAATATTTGGTTTTTTAATGACATTACTCTTAAAAATAGATTGTCAAAATGATTGATAAAATGTTAAAATATCATTTATCTTCGAAATACTATTTACTTTATGTGTAATAAGTTTGGTCACTTTTTTTTTCGCATATAGTAAATAGAGGAGTTGCTATAAAAATAAAATTATAGATCATTGTTGATTTCGTTTTTTTGTAATGGTAAAAGTTTTTTTTTCACATAATATTATAATACAAATGGTCTAAGTTCGAGTTTGCGGTACAATGTTTAAAAATAACTGGTTCTATGTAATAGATAAAACCAAATTATCTCTAATAAAAAACACTTATGATTTATAAAACAACTTTAGTGTAAATAATTTATTTCTTGCAAAATGTTGTAATTGAACTTAGTAATAAGATATTTTTTTCTTATTAGGACAAGACACTAGGGAGAATACATCAACCAAATATAAGAGTTACATCAAATGAAATTAGAAATTAACGAGGGTGGGTTAAACTAAGAGAATGTGGAATCCTTATAACAAAAATGTATTATTATTTATTTTATTTATACACATCCTGCGGATATGCACTACCACAATGCTTCTACCAACTTAAATTGTTTGCAGTGTGCAAGAAAGTATCCAATGATTTATATATATATATATATATAT